TATATATATATATATATATATATATATATATATATAGAGAGAGAGAGAGAGAGAGAGATGTATTTAAGCATGTAGAATATACTGAAGAAAAAAACTCATTTATCTTCCGGCGAATGAGTCTTTTCATGAAAAAACCCAATAAAACCGACTTATCCCCCAGGCAAAATAGGGTTTTTTCATTAAAAGCCCACATGGGATGGCTTTTTTATTATTATTAAAAAAAAAGTGTATTTTTGGAAACCCTGTCATTCACACCGGGGAAAAATCTTAAGTTTATCTGTCCTAAAATAATTCTATTCAAATGTTACACTTGGTTGGTTCTAAAGTTTAAAAATGCCAGAATAAAAAAGGAAAGGGGTTATACTCGGCTTCTTTTTACTACTGGTCAAACACATATAGCATGCAGGTAATTTGACAGTCACAAAATACTTTTTCTCCCATCCTATTTAGGAAACAAGATGGACCAATGTAAATATTTTTTTTTAAAGTTTCGTTTAATTTTTTCGGCAATACCAAAATCTGTCCAGCATGGAATTAGTGGAAATAGCAAAGTGTATCCTTGGGGCTCATAGTGCCAAGCTGAGCAAATTCTACTACTGTTCTTGAGAGCTCAGATAAAGCACCCTTTATTGATAACTTTTCATATAATCCTGAGAAATTAAGGTCTTTAATGATATTTTCAACTGTCTCTCCCCTCCACATTTGTATACTAAATTTACACATAAAAACAAAGTAACAAGGACAGAATGTTTATTTTAATGAAAATTGTATTTTAACTATAAGCTATAAAATGTATGTTTACAAGTAGGACTGGGCCTTAAATCGATGTATCGCAACATATTGATTTAACTCATATATCAGCAAGCCGATACAGCAACTTTCGTACCAGGCGATACATCAGAAATTTGATTTAAGCCATATACTAAAGACGGCGAGCGCAAAATGATGTATCGATATAAGACACGCAAAAATCTTCTTGCAACTGATACCGACTCACGCTGTGGAAGACGATGTTCGTTTCATTAAATTGAAATGGCCTTGATTCATGAGTGGTAGAATCAGAACCATAGTTTTGAGAATATATATCATGATCTTGCATATTCGTNTTTTTTTTTTTTTTTTTTTTTTTTTTTTTTTTTTTTTTTTTTTTTTTTTGCAACTTGATATGGCTTCTTGTAGATTATTTTCAGTGGGACTGACTTTGTGACGGCCGTCGTTACCTTGTTCTGAAAGCAATCTATTATTGAAAAGAATATATAAAGAAGTGTTTCTTAATTAATTAGGTAAATTTTTTTTTTAAATAAAACTTTTTATTTTATTTTTAAATGAGAAAATTAATTTTGGTACTATATGTTTAAGTAATTTTTTACATTATTGAATTTATTACAATCTGCAAGCTAATTTAAGGCTATTTTTTACTTTATTTTAATGGGTTTTTATTACTGATTTTAAATTTATAAATCTTTAGTTTTTTTTTTGTTTTTATAAATAAAATTATAACAAAACTTATTTTTCCTCTTTTGTTTATTCAAAAAAAATTAATAAGGTTTGTGACTTCTTCTTCTTCTTTTTTAAATTAAACCTTACTTTGTTTTCTCATTCAGAATTCGGTAATTATTCAACTGAACTTAATATTGTTTTAACAGCGTTTTTTTAAAAATTTATTTAGCACTGTTCTTCAGCATACAAAAAATTTGTAACGAACTTATTTTTTAAATTTTCTTTATTGTTAGGTAAATACAGGGTGTTTATAAAGTCCCGGACCCATTTTGATGTTTAATAACTCATATAATAATAAAGATAGATTAAAATTAATAACATAAATGGTTAGATAGACTCAAAAAGTTTCATGACCCTTGTCAATGAACTTCCACGTGCGCCCCCTACGTCGCACGGAAAATATTAAGTCGATAGTCAATTTCACGCCAGGTAGCGGCAAGCATGTCGGCATCCATANTTAATAACATAAATGGTTAGATAGACTCAAAAAGTTTCATGACCCTTGTCAATGAACTTCCACATGCGCCCCCTACATCGCACGGAAAATATTAAGTCGATAGTCAATTTCACGCCAGGTAGCGGCAAGCATATCGGCATCCATAGAGGCTATTGTGGTTGTAATTCTGGCTTTTAGGTCATTATAAGGGGATCTGAAAATCCCCAAGAATACCGTGAGACACAAAGGGATTCCCCAAAGGTTAATGTGTGGTGTGGACTAATGCACGAGCGAGTCATTGGGCCTTTCTTTTTTACAGAAAAGACGGTCTCATCAGTCGTATACTTAGACATGTTGGAAAACTTCGTATTTCCACAAGCTCAGCCATATGTCTTTTTGCAACAAGATGGTGCACCACCTCATTGGGGTATCATCGTTCGCAGTTCTTTGAATGACCATTTTCCAGGAAGATGGATAGGGCGAGGAGGTCCAATTCCTTGGCCACCCAGATCACTTGATATAACGCTGCTGTACTTTTTTCTTTGAGGTTTTTTAAAGGACAATGTTTACAGGAGGATCGTGTCAAATATTCATGACCTAAAAGCCAGAATTACAACCGCCATAGCCTCTGTGGATGTCGACATGCTTGCCGCTACCCGGGGTGAAATTGACTATCGACTTGATATTCTCCGTGCGACGAAGGGTCATGAAACTCTTTGAGTCTATCTAACCATTTATGTTATTAATTTTAATCTATCTTTATTATTTTATGAGCTATTAAACATCAAAATGGGTCCGGGACTTTATAAACACCCTCTATATTGATAAATTTCAATTTTACTTTTTTTTTTTATTATTTATTTTTAAACTAAGAAATCTTTCGTTATTTGCGCGATCATTTTCAGAAAAATATAACAATAATATCTTTCTTAAGCAAAACATATATATCTCCAAATCATAAATTGATTTAAATCAATATGAGTATGAAGTTTTGATAGAAATCTGACTTTCTGTGCCTTACAAGTAAATGAAATTCAAAAATACTGTATAGCGATACATCGGTATATCGCAATGCAAGACTGACGATGCATCACGATAAAAAATTTCTTATATTGCCCAGTCCTATTTACAAGTAACAAAGATGTACATTTATTAAATGTAAAACATAACTTACCTAAAAAGAATAATATTAAGACAAAAATCAACACATTGAAATAAATATTAGCTTTCCTCTGAACAGCTTTCCATAGGTGGAAGTGAAAGAAACTACGCCATCTAAAAAAATTATTAAACACTCAATGTAATGAAAAAACATTACGAGAGTTAAACTTATTAAAATAAACAACAAGTAGATGATGTGTTATGGTTAAGATTGATGACAAGAGCCCACCCCAAAAATATATGTAAACTAACAGACAAAGATCTTATTTTTTTATAAACTGTAAATAGCTTTAAGTTCCATAAACTTTAATGTAAAAATAACTAGTTGCATGTCCGAAAAAAATTTCTTTTATTTAAGTTTCCAATATTTTTAAAAAAATCTATGATTTAAATCACGATTTTACAAGCAAATTAAAATCGATGAACCTGTTCATATTTATTCATTTTTTTGCCTTTAGAAACAGTTTTAACAGTCTGAAAGAAAATAACTGATTTTTATTTAGCAATAAGCAACTTCTAGGAAAATAGTCAATTTCACCTTCAACATATCTTATAACATTTATATTTCTATTTCTTAAATAAATCAGTATTAAACCTTTGCACAGTAAAAAAAATTTAGTTAAAATGATCAGGGATGAGAGTAGTCAGAAAGTAAAACAGAGGAAATCGAAGAATAAATATATAAACTGCTGTTTGTAGAAAATGCAACACCATGAAGGAATCATCAGAATCAAATGAAATTCGCAGCAAATGTCAATTATAGGATATTATGCAAATTAATAAAGTTTCAGAGCCATCGCGCGTGCGTGGCGCGCGCAGCGCCCTCTGAATTGATGCTGAAAGCGTATAAATAAAGTGCTGTAGCGGGACGTTGAAAATAGTCTATGATTATTTGTTAGTGGCAAACGTTTAGTGAGACCTGAGTATGCCTCCACGACGGAAGAATAAGAAATTCAAGCAACTTACGGAGTTTGAACGAGGGAGGATAATCGGCCTTCGAGAAGGAGGATTTTCCTATCGCGCAATAGCAGCTCGTATGCAGCGGAACAGTTCCACAGTGATGCGAGTTTGGAAGCAGTGGACCGACGAGCACCGAACAACTCGAAAAACAGGCACTGGACGACAGAAGGTGACGTCAGAGCGCGATGATCGACACCTGCTCCGCATGGCGGTGAATGATCGCACAGCTTCCTCCAGGCAGCTGGCAGCACATTGGTCTACTGCTACAGGTGTACAATTGTCGGCTTCGTCAATTCGTCGTCGTCTGCTGCGCCGTGGATTGCGTGCAAGGGTGCCATTATACAGGATTCCCCTCACGGCGGATCATCGACGGCTGCGTCGGCAGTGGGCTCTTGAGCACAGAGACTGGCGAGCTGATTGGCACCAAGTTGTCTTTTCAGATGAATCACGCTTCAATTTGTGGACCCATGATGGCCGTGTTCGTGTTAGACGTTATGCCGGTCAACGCTGCCTTCCTGAGTGTATTATTGAACGACATAGTGGTCGAACACCCGGAGTTATGGTCTGGGGTGCGATTTCGTATCATGGACGATCCAATTTGATACGAATTGAGGGTAATCTCAATAGCAACAGATACGTCCGTGAAGTGCTACAGCCCGAAGTCGTTCCTTTCCTTCAAGGCATCCCTGGAGCTATCTTTCAGCAGGATAATGCACGCCCACATGTTGCGCGGACTGTTAGAGACTTCTGTTCAGCACAACGCATGCAACTTCTTCCTTGGCCTGCTTATTCGCCGGATATGTCGCCTATTGAGCACGTGTGGGATATGGTTGGTCGGCGTCTCACTCGTGATCCGCGTCCTGCAGTTTCCAAAGACGAACTTTGGTTGCGCATACAAGCGATATGGAATTCTCTTCCTCAAGCAGATATTCAACATCTGTTTGACTCCATGCCACGTCGTATAGCAGCACTTATTGCAGCGCGTGGTGGCTGCACCAAATACTGATTTCGGACGCTTAATTTGTTTCTTTTGTTTTGAAAATTTCATCATTTATTTGTATCAGTACAAGTCGTTTCTGCATTAAATTTCATTTGATTCTGATGATTCTTTCATGGTGTTGCATTTTCTACAAACAGCAGTTTATATATACACACACAAAAATTTGACAAAAAAAGTGCAATATTTAAACTTGTAAACCATGTGATTATAAATCACGATATGAGGCTTTTAAATCACGTGAATATGAAACTCAATATCGAATTTTAAAAAATGCAAAAATACAAATCATGATGCGTAATTTTTAGATCACGTAAATACGAATCACGATCCATAATTTTAAAATCGCGAGAATACAAATCACAATGTCTAACTTTTAAAGAGCATTTAAATACGAAAATCGATGTTTGATATTACAACCGCAAAAACGAATCACGACATTGGATTTTAAGCTCGCTTGAATACGAATCGCTACATAGGCTTTTAAAAGCGCGTAAATACAAATCGCGATATTTGATTTTTAAATCTCGTAAATAAGAATCGCAATGTACGATATTTAAATCGCCTGAATAAGAATCGCAACGTTCAACTTTTAAATCAGGTAAATACGAAAATCGATGTTAGATAATAAAATCGTGATTTAAAAAGTGCATAAATACAAAACGCGATATTGGATTTTTAAATCTCGTAAATAAAAATCATAAAGCACGATGTTTAAATAGCGTAAATAAGCAACTTTTAAATCAGGTAAATACGAAAATCGATGATTGATATTAAAATCATGTGAATAAGAATCGAGATATTTGCAGAGTCTGGACTTAGGATATCTAAAAGACTTGTTTGTATTGATTTTGTTTAGACAAAATAAATAAAAATTTACAAGATTAATTGAATAAGCAAATAAATATTTTCACCACAAATCCACCTCTATTTCTTTTTTTTGTTTTTTTTTTTTGCTTTCACACCAGACAACAGGATCACGACGTTTGAATTGCGAAAATACGAGCTATCCCGTGGACGGATAAAAATAAAGAAAATCTTATTTTCTGTGAGTAAAAGCAGAGAAAATAGCTAAAATAATTAAAAATACGGAAGGGTTAGCAGCTAGGATGTAGTTTGAATTTTCTGTTTATCTTTGAAAATCGTAAATAAATATAATGATTTTATTTCAACGACTGAATTTTTTTTTAAAAAAAAGAGGGATATTTATTTTAAAAAAACGAAGCTTTTAGACAATCTGAGTGTTTGATAAAAATTCTGAAATTCGAGAGGCAAGAGCGAAAAAATCTCATCCCTGTATAAAGATCAACCAGTTTTATCCCAAGGAAATGATTTTTAGAGAAACTTCAGAGGGAGGAAGGAGGACTTCTATAGTTTCGCTCTGCGGAAAAGTAAATTTCTCATAAAATATTTTAACTTGCTCAAAAATTTTTTTTTCGCAGATATTAGCGGGAAAAATCTGAAACAAAGTAGAAATCCTTGAAAGAATCACATCCCTGAATGATACAGAAACTGATGGACTATATTAGTCTCAAAAACTATTGTTAATTTTTGTAAATTTTTCAATTTTATTATAAATCTTAATTAGGTAATGAAGAACATAAATGAGATCTACTGGCAAGATTGGTACCGGAGTAATGAGAGTCAATGAATGGATAAAAATTTGCTAGCTAATGGAAATGTGTACTTAAAAACCAGTTAATATCCCTAATATATAGTATTTATGAATAGTTTTAAGAATATGAAGATTAGATTCAGGAGATATAAAACATTTAAGGAGAATACTTACATTTTAGGAGATATAAAAGGTAAAATAAGCAGAGTAATGAGAGCCAATTCAAAATATAGGAAACAAGCTATAAGCATCCACTGAACAGTCATTTTCAAATAAATGGATTCCTGCAACAACAATAAATATTACAAGCATGTAATGAGTGGTGCAAACAAAAACCCTGATGCCCCCGAGGTGCAGGTGGCACAGGGTTCAGAAATAATACACTGTATGATAAGAGTGCACAGCCTGCGATCCGTGACAGCACCTACACATAAAAAATTGACATTTTTTAATGCACATTAAAAATTTTGATGCGCTAAATCTAAATTAATGTAGAGTTTCTTTTTTTTTCCCGATGGTTATCGCTATGAATTTCCAAAAACATTGAATTAAATATATATATATTTTTTAAACGGCCGGCCAGGTGGTCGAGCGGTTAGCGTGCCTGACTGCGAAGCCAATGGCTGTGGGTTCGAATCCCGCTCTGGGCATGGATGTTTCTCTCTGTGTTGTCCTCTGTTGTGTGTGATGTGTGAATGTGGCCCACCCTATGAACGGGTTTGTGGCAGTGTGGCGTGGGTAATGTTGCTCGCCTCCGTGACTTAGGTTCACAGGTGCCCACTGGGTAACGCTAAATGAGCAAAACTTCCGGCATCTTCCGAGGTGAAGAATGAGAGTTCAAGTGCCTGCCGTTATCAAAAAAAAAATAAATAAATAAAATAAATATTTTTAAAACGACAAAGTTATGATGCATGAATTTTGAATTTTAGTAATCTCTCTTTATTTGTGCCCGTTTCATAGTTAAACCAAGTAAGACCTGTCAGGCTGTCTTAGGACCACTCCAACAGCTGCTCTAGAGAGCTTACTTGGGCTTCTTCCTGTTGGGAAAATGTAAACAAATAGAAATGTAAACAGTATTTTCCTCATGGCTGTCTCACTTCCTGTGGGAAGTTGGGTCACTTCCTAGGGGAAGTTGGGTCACTTCCTGTTATCTCAGCTAGAAGTGGGTGTTTCTGTTTTTAGTTAGTTATATCTTTGCTTTGGATAGAGGATATTTCTTCTCTTATGCTATGTTTAGAAAGAGCTATGTGATGTTAAAGAGTTATGTTTAGTTTATTTGAATGTAGTTTTTCTTACTTTACATTTAAAGATTTATATTCAATAAATATAGTTGTACCTTTTCCATGAAGTGAATTCTTGAGTAGTCCCGCAGTGGACTGATCGTTAAGACACGGTTCCCAGCAGATCACCGAAGTCAAGCATCACTGGCTGCGGTCCGTGTGCGGGTGGATGACCACTTGGATCAGTCTGCGTAGGGACCGAGGGTGTGCGATATCGGTCCTCGTTGAACTGTGCTACCGTAAAGTGCTCGACTTCGCACGCAGGTCGTCGGGCTACCAAAGCGGGGGTGCCATCCCCTCCGCAGAGGATCAAAATTGTGATGGCATGTCTTCGGATCATCCTCCGGGATGTTTCCCAGACCGTCGCCAATAGCCCATTGTGCAGCTCTAGTGCGACGTAAATTAACAACAACAACAATTCTTGAGTAGTAATAGATGTCTTCAATATCTTATACTTAGTAAGCTGGCCCCTATTTTTTAACATTGGTTATGGGCCAGGACATTTTAGAAGGGGGCCCGTTGGAGAACTTTTATAGAGAATGGCTTTGCTACCAGAAGGCTTTAACTTATTAAGTTATGATAATTGGGACAGGTGGAAAACAGACATTAAAATTTTGTTATTAGATAAAGGCTGTTGGAAATTTATTGATGGAAAAGAAGAAGAGTTGGAAGTTTCAACTACAAGAAGAGAAAACCAGGAATTTGAATTAAGAAGAGATAGATCATTTTCAACGTTGTATTATGCAGTTCAGCCAGAATTCAGACCACTTATTCAAGATTGTTTAGATGGGAAGAAGGCTTGGGAGAAATTGGTTCAGCATTTTGAGCCAAAAACAAGAGCTAGACTCATTCAGATACTTGATGAGTTTTTTAGCATAAAGTATCAAGCTAATGAAAGTATAGGCCTTTTTATTGCTAGACTTAAAACAGCAGTGAAGAAGCTTAGTGAAGCAGGTCATGAATTAAATCAGTTGTTTCAAGGCTTCCAAGCAATAAGGCATCTACCACCTGAGTTCTCCGGTATAGTTCAGTTAATTTATCGTTGGAAGGATGAAGATTTTACGATTGATAAAATTGCCGAAGAACTGATAAGAGAAGAAAGCAGACTTACACAAGTGAAAGCTGATATTCGTCCAGAGGTTAGTGCGTTTAACATTTCTTCTATAAGTAAAGATGAAGAAAGATATGGAGACAGAAAAAAATCTCAAAGTAAATTTGTAGAAACTAATAGAAAAGTCATTGGTCCATGTCATCACTGCCACAAGTATGGACATTTAGTTGCAAATTGTAGAGATAGATATGCCAGAAATGTAAAGTCAAAGTGGGGTAAACAGAAAAGGAATTTCAATGATCAGTCAGCTGCTTTAGTTGAGACTTATTCAACACACTCTGTGGAAGTTGGTGAAACCATGATTGAAAATGATGATAAAATATGGGTTTTGGATTCCGCTGCAACTACACATTTCTGTAAAAA